TCAAATGCCTTTGCATAATCAATGAAACACAGATAGACATTCTTCTGGTATTCTCTGCTTTCAGCCAAGATCCATCTAACATCAGCAACAATATCCCTACTACCACGACCCCTTCTAAACCCAGCCTGGACTTCCAGCAGTTCTCTGCTGATGTACTGTTCCAGTCATTTTTTGATAATTTTCTGCAGAATCTTGCTTGCATGTGAAATCAATGCTATTGTTCTGTAGTTTCTACACTCTGCTGGGTCACCCTTCTTTGGAATAGGAACAAATACAGATCTCTTCCCATCAGATGGCCAAGTAGTTGTTCTCCAGATGTCTTGGCACAGCTTGGTGAGCACATCCAGGGCAGCATCTGTTAGCAGAAATATGTCAATTGGTATACCATCTATTCCAGGGGCCTGTTGTTGTTAGGTGCTGTCAAATCACATACAACTCATAGAGACCCTATGACCCATGGTCCTGACTCTTATCCTGTCCTGTGCTAACCTCACCATGTCTGACATACCTTAACCCCTTGTTAAAAATAATCTGTTGTTGTTGTTAGTTGCCATCGAGTACAGCATTACTCAGTGACCCTGTGTACAACAGATCTGAACCCTGCCCCATCCTGTGTGAACATCACAAGCTGACACCCCCAAATCCATCTGCTTGATGTTCTTTCTCTCCTTTGCTGTCCCTCCACCTTCCCAAGCATAATGTCTCTTTCCAATAAATAGCCTGTCCTAGCAGCCCAAAGTATGTGAGATAAAGCTTCATCATCTTTGCATCTCCAAGGATGCAGATGACAGAGCTGTATAGACGAGGCAGGATTGGCCATAGGTTGATAATTACCAAAGCTGAGCTGTTACCTAAGGGTTCAGTTGTTTTGGTTTTTTTTTAAATTTCTATTATTGTTAGTGCTTGATGTTTTTAATTGTGAAAAAGGGAAAAGGCTGCTTCAGAAGATAAACTGGAACTGAGCACAAGTGACAGTGAAGCCTCTCGAAGGGGAGCGCCCTCCACTGTGTGCGAGGCTCGGTGGCCCTTGGTGAGGTTTGCGCTGGTGGCGCCTGTTGGGTGACAGGCACTTTGTTCTCTACTCAGCATCACCTTTTATCCTTCAGAGGGTTCGATGTTATTCCTATTTTTATGGGAGAAAGAACTGAGACTTCACAAGGCTAAGTGACTTGCCCCAGTGCCATCCAGCTGGGAATGTGAGAGTTGATCTTTGGAGGCCCTGTTCTTTTCACCACCGTGCATTCATTTTGTAAAAATGGTGGCTTTAATCCATTGAACCAGCAGACACAGAAATAATTATAACTCCATGTGTTACATGTTGGAGACGATTTCCAGGATGTTAGTAAAGTGCAGATGGAAGTAACCCATCATGGGCAGATGATCTCACAGCCCTTACTGTGTTCCAGGCACTGTAATGGGAGGAAAAGAAAACAGTTAGAGGAATAAACACACAACCAATGACAATCCAGCATTAAATGCACAAGGATAAGAGAGGAAGCTCAATTCTATGGTTTCCCAAAAGAGCAGTAGCCATCCTAGATTCCTAGAGGGAGGAGACACAAGGAAGACTTCCTGGAGGAGGCAAGGACTGAGCTTACTTTAGAAAGAGAAGTGGGGTTAGCCGAGCGGGCTGTGAAATAATCATTCGTCTGTCTTCAGGCCCTGTCTTATTGGAGTGTCACTCTGCTGCAGAGTGGTAGATGGTAGAGGCTGTCACCCCTACAGTTCAGGAAGGGACTGAGGCTGTAAGTGCATCGTGGCTCAGCCCTAGGTTGTGTGTTCTCTGGAGCCATGACCAGAACCTGCATTTTTGTAGACTGTTAACATGATGAAGAGCATCAAAGAAAACCAGATATTTAAATTAGGATCTATTTTGGAAGAACAGTTGAAGTCCTTGTAACTGACATGACTGGTTAGTTTTAAAAGTAGGCTAAAGCAGGAAATCAAAAAATGATACATACCTTAAACATTTTAGTTTAACTTAAGACAGATAAATGTACATTCATTTGCCATTCTTTTGATGTAGTGCCAGAGTCTTTTCTCTGAATATAGGTCTGCTGATTGGAGTTCACATCTTCTTTCTTTCATAAACTACATCCATAATGTATGTCTGTCACTTCCAATTTCTATTTCTTTAAGATGAAGAGAAAACTTAGACACTTGCAAAGCAATTTGAATACAGAATTCTTCTAGACTCTGTTCCTCCCACATCTTTGATAGTTATCGCACCCACACCTAATTTGCCGGAAATGTGTGTTTCAATGACTTCCGTTTATCTCAGGTCTTTTCTGAGGTGTATGTTAGTTTTCATACAACTAGTTCTCTCTTTTTTGTGCACATATTCCATGGGTTTACTTAATATTTAATTAAATGACATCGTTTCACCAGCAGTACAACTACCATAAACAACTTTGGGAACCAACTAAAGGGACTTTGTTCGCCGCCAGCTCAGCATCCCACGTCCTAGGAGCAGACGTGTTTCGATGGGGCAGAGTAGCGTGTGCCAGGGCATCAGCCATGTATTCTTCAGGTAGAAGGTGGGGGATGTCCTCACTGTGTGTGGAAGGGGGGTGTCGTTACCCCGTGAGCAGACTCTGTAGGGCCTTCTGAGGGGCAGCCACAGTGTGGAAGGGGGGTGTCGTTACCCCGTGAGCAGACTCTGTAGGGCCTTCTGAGGGGCAGCCACAGTGCACACCTAATACTTCTGAAGATCAGGACTCAATTCACCACACCCTCCTCTCCTCTGAACAGCCCAGACCGCACCTCCGAGAGCACCGACCTCTCCTAAGAAGAGTTTTAAAATTTGAACATTACATCCTTTTTTAATCCAGCAGTTTTTTCCTAAGATAACAACCAATTGAGAGATTTTTTTTTAAATGGAAAGGAAACTATTTCCAAGTCACATTTCCCAGACAATAATCTGCATCAGCATTTTCATGACATCTGTCATTGCGATTTTTTCTCGACGTCTCAACGCACACATCTTTGAATATAGACAGATATCTTCAGGTTTTTGAAAGAGGGATGGTGTGTAGTACATGTCCAGGGCTCTCTTTTTGTTCATTATTTTTTCCCATGCAGCTTTGCAATATCATTTTTAATAGCTGCAAAGTTATTTTTTTGTATATAAGTACCATCTATACCCCTTGCAAACAAATCAGGTTTATTTGTTTGTTACTGTGGACATCTTTGTGTGTCGGCATCTTCTCAGGCTTATGCCATTTTTTAAATTCCTTGGTTGAAAGCCAAAATGTTGAATTGCCGGGTCACACTATGGCCAGGGTGCCTCCTAGCTGGGCCCTGTCTGGGGTTGTGGTCCCTGCACCCTCACCACCAAGGATCTTTGTCCAGTTGGGCAGTCTGACCAATGGCATCTAGCTCTTCTCCAAATGTCTTTTATTAATGAATTTGAGCATCTTCTTTTATGTATTTTTTAATTCTTTATTTCTTTAATTTATTAATTATTTAATTTAATGTGTATTTTTTAATTCTTTTGTGATAAAATACTTTTTAAAAAGTTTTTTATGTGATATGATCTTTTATATTCTCTATTCGTTACATTCTTTATTCATTTTTCCTATTCCTTTTCCTTTTAGACTGGAAGAGACCTGAAGACCGAGATCTCCAAGTTACAGAAAAAATTATTTGAACAAGACAAGAAGTTACAAAATACCGTCAAGCTTTTACAGCTAAGCAAGCACCAGGAGAAAGTTATCTTTGATCAGTGTAAGTGAGGGTTCTAGGCGGGGGTGAGGGTAGGCAGCCCCCTTATCACGTCTGGCCTCTGTTACTAATTATGCCCACGTGGTTTGTAAGCTTACAGAATGTTGTTGTTATGTGCTGTCGAGTCGCTTGCAACTCATAGCAACCCTATGTACAATAGCCCTAAAGTCTGCTCTGTTCTGTGCCAATCGTACTGTCTCCAACACACTCATCCTAGTTAACCCAGTCACTGAATTAGTTCACCTCATAGAGGGCCTTCCCCTTCTTTGCTGTCCCTACACCCTCCCAAGCATGACGTCCCTCTCCAAGGACCTGTCCCTCCTTACAACATGTCCAAAGTATGTTAGATAGAGTCTCAGAATCCTTGCCTCCAAGGAGCCACCCAGTTTAAACCCTTTCTAGGATGAATCTATTTGTTTTCCTAGCAGTACATGATACCCTCAATACTCTTCTCCAGCACCACAGTGCAAAGGCATCAATTCTCCTTCTATCCTCCTTAGTCACTGTCCAACTCTCTGATGAATAACAAGTTATAGCAAAGACCATGGCATGTATCAGACGCACCTTAGTCTCCAGAGAGACACCATTGCTCTTCAGTGCTTTGGAGAGGTCCCTAACAGCAGACTTTCCCATGACAATATATCTTTTAATTTCCTGGCTACTGGTGCCGAGAGTGTTGACTGTGGAGCCAAGCAAACTAAAGCTGTGAACAATCTCAATC